CTTTCCCCCACTTTCTCCTCCCAAGTTCAGCCTGAGACTCTGCCACACCAATGGACTTTTCCTCACCTTTACCTACTTTCCCACTGCACCGCTCTAGAGATCAGAGGAATCTAGAGCGAGTGGTCCCTTTCATCTCCTCCTGCCCCTCCCTGGCCCCAGGCCAGCCACTGATGGGTAAGTCAGGATCAGCCCTGCTTCCTGGGGATAGCCCAGTGAGCCTGAATCTCTCTCTGAGGGAGTCTTCAGATGTACGTGCTCAGTCCCATGTATTTTGATGCACAAATACCAAATAATTAGAGATCACAAGGTCTTACCTCCACCTTGTACCCTTTAAAAACATAATAGCTCCTTTATTTTATGGCACTTAACTCTGTTTATTCAGCGTGATCAGGGCAGCATCCAGGCTGTAGCGAGCTGTTAAATATTTACTCGTGAGGCGGATATTTATACATGAGTCAGCAGCAGTTATCAGTGTGCGACGCTGGAAGTCAGGTTCAGAACCCTTACAAGCCAGGGAACTACTGTACCGAGCTCCATATAGGGGGAAAAGGTGTCCTTTAAAAAGACACTCTCGCTTAAAATAGCCTTTGCAGCAAGCATGTCAAACTCAAAGGCTCACACGGCCAAATAAATAAGGTATAAGTGTATGTGGGCCACAGAAAAACAAAAGCTTCAATTTTCAAGCATAGGTTTATTTCAGTAGAAACATGCTGAAATCAAAGGGCTGAAATAAATGAGTCATCGTTAACATAAAATGATAGAACATTTTAATAAAAATTAATATTTTTTTCTTGAACACTAACTTATCAGGCACTGAATAACTGCACAAATTAATAAACAGTAATGCAAATAAACCTATTTTTCTTGTTCTCTGAAAGCGAAATATTTCCTGTTGTGCACATCAAACAAGTCAGTACAAGACTAATGATGCGGCTATTGGCTACTAAAATATTCGCTGCTAGTATTAGTGGAGAGAAATAGTGTGCCTGCACGTAAGGTGGGTAAGGGAAGTGAATACAACATGATGATAGTAATCAGTCATTAGCGAACATTGTAGTTCATTATTAATAATAATGTATAACAAGATATTGTAAAAATTAAGTTACAAAATTTTTATTAAAATGTTTCTTACATTCCGTTATATTGACTGGGCTGCAAAAATGTTCTTTGTGGGCACCATGAGTTTGACACGTTTGCTTTACAGTATCTAAAGAGCTTCACACATTGAGGCTTAACTGCACAGCCATCAAAGTCAGAGTTAGACAGGACAGATTCGGTGGGTCCGGTTGTTTGATGGTTGGGCTGGAGAGCTGAACGAAAGGGAGAGGAAAGCATGCTCTGCTGCCCTGTGGAACATTGGGGGAGGTGGGCTGCCTGTCCGAGCGCTGCTGGCAGCCCGTAGTCTCATTGGGTCCCAGCCCAGCTCCCTGTAGCCCTTTCTAGATGAAAACTCCCTCTCTCTCAGGGAAGCAGGTGATTCGGCAGTCACAGCATGGACCCTGGCAGCAGGCAGGCCTGAGTTCAGATCTCAGCTTATCATTTTCTAGTTGTGTGAACCCAGGGAAATTTCTTTTGCTCACTGAGCCTTGATGTCTTTACCTATAAAATTGCAGCGATAATTCCTGCCTCATTGAATTGTGGGGAGGATTAAATTAGATTATGGAAAGCACGTAGGAACAAGTGTTAATCTCGATAATCACAAAAGCGGAGTGCAGAGAGATGGTCCTGGCGGCGAAGCAGCGGGTCTCGGGGCTTCTCTGCACCTCTGCTTCTGTCCGTCATTACAGCTCATGTTTGGTCACTGGCTGTATTTCTGAAGCAGGGAGAATTTCCCGTTTCAAGGATTACCCACAGACTATTTCATTCTTTATATTCAGTTTAATGAGTACTTAAGAACGTATCCTGTAACATTTTATGCAGGTCAAAGCCCATCACAATCAATCCCAGGGATTTGTCCAGTTATTTTATTTTCTTGGAATTTTAGTGTGCTCAGGATTGTTGTTCTGCGTAAGCTGTAGGAAGCCTGGGTCTTGGTATTTTCTTTGCTATACAGATATTTCACTAGTAATTAAAGGATGTAAATATTGAATTTCTTGTTCTAGACAATTTTCTTCTTAATTGGTTTTTCATCCCTGCTTACATGTGTGCCCTCTGTGTACTTTTTAATGCAAAAGACAGGCTACAAAGCCTTCTTTCCAATTCTCAAAAAGTCACAGGAGTCTTCCTGGCCTGGTCAGAGTTAGGCTGAAACCTGAACCACTGTCTCCCCTGCAGGAAGCAAACGGGAGCGATGTTCTTGCCGGTTCTGTGCAGTGCAGAGTGGATGATTCACTGATGCCACTTAGTCCAGAGCTGTCATCACTCCCTCAGTTGTCAGAGTTGTGCTTTTCAGATATCATTTGAATAGGAAAAGGTGATGGCGGATGGTTCTACTTCATCTTGATTCCTCGCATCACTGGGGATTTTATTTGTTTGTGGGTTTTCATCCCCATAAACAAATAAAAATAATGCTCATTTTTACCAGAAAGATTAATTTCAAAAGTTTGTAGTCAGCCAGGAGAAAGGCTGGTCTGGAGCCCGTTCAGTACTACCCCTGTTTCCCCGAAAATAAGACATCCTCCGAAAATAAGACCTAGCGCAACTTTGGGAGAAAAAATTATTATAAGACACTGTCTTATTTTCGGGGAAACAGGGTAGTAGTTCTGTGGATTGTTTCCGGTGTCACCAGCTCTAGACTGAGCCTGTCTGCTCCAAACTACATCGGGGAGATTTTCTAGACTGTTACTGTGAATTGTTTTGCTGCCATTGCAATCTTTTTTTTTTTTTTTTTTTTTTTTAATGTATTTCAGAGAAGAAGGGAGAAGGAAAGAGAGATAGAAACATCAGTGATGACAGAGAATCATTGATTGGCTGCCTCCTGCATTCCCCACACTGGGGACTGAGCCTACAACCTGAGCATGTGCCCTAACCAGGAATCCAACTGTGACTTCCTGGTTCATATATTGATGCTCAACCACTGAACCACACCTGCAGGGCCCATTTACAATCTTGTAGCTATCGGGACTTGAGAAATGAATAATCATAGCATGAAGGGATTTTGGTTTGATTTTTTTTTTTGTGTGTGTGTGTGTGTGTGTGTGTGTGTGTTTGTATTCCGTAGTATTATAGAGAGGGTTTAGGGGTTATATGATAGAAACATATAGTACATTAAAATAAAATTCAATAAGAAAAGCAAGTTAGGACAAAAGAAAAGTAAGAGTAAGAAAGATGAAATCAAGGTGAAGGTTATATGATATGCATGCTGTAGGGCTCTGAACAATTTTTTTTTTTTAAAAATAATCTTATGCCAGTTAATTTAAACTGGAAAGGAATCTCCATGAAAATTCATTGGAACTTCCTGGATCAATGTTGGGTCTTAGTTCTTAGAACAGTGATTTTTCTCTGTTTGTTTTTCTTTTTTTTAGATCGGTGATTTTTTATTATACCTTCTTGTATAGATGAATTGAATATCAGCGTTTATTTGAACTAGTTGCAAACTTCCTACCCCTATTGGACACTGACATGTGACCAGGTAGCACAGTATGCCAGAAAGTATTTAATTAGTTTGTACCGTTTAAAAATTGAGAGGTTAAATCATCTGTCTTGCTGGCTTCACTTGAAAAATTAGGATATGATCAGACCAGGCTCATGTTCCTCCATGTCTGAGATCAGCTGGAGTTGAGTGGTAGAGAGCCCTTGCCATTGTGCATAAAATGTCCTATTCTCTCCACTCATCTACATCCCCTACCTGGGCTGGGTAGACCCTGGAGTTTGCATCGCCTGCCCTAGACCACCTCATCACACTAAAAATGAGGACTGTAAAGTCCAAACGAGGATGCCCAAGGCAACAAAGCTGGTCACCGCAGAAGTGGTGCCTTCAGTGCAGTGTCATGAAGTTGCATTAGTTCAGTTTAGTGCCCTTCAAGATGACTTATCTTTGAATTAGGCATAATGAAGAGTATAAAAGTCTATGTTTCAGTAATGGGTACAAAACATTGATGTTGGTAAGATGTTTTTATCCATGCCAATTAAAATTTGCTAATGTGATAGCATCATTAGTTGTTATTAATCATTAGTTTTAGTCTTGTGTAACATGAGCATGCTGATTTAACAAAATGGGTTGAAATATAAATCCTATCTAGTAAAAGAGTAATATGCAAATTGACCATCACTCCAACATACAAGATGGCTGATCCCATGTGGACATAGATGGCCGCCACAAGATGGCCAGCAGGGGAGGACAGTTGGGAGGGACCAGGCCTGCAAGAGAGGGCAGTTGGGGGTGATTAAGCCTGCAGAGGAGGGCAGTTAGGGGTGATCAGTCTGGCAGAGGAGGGAAGTTGGGGGTGGCCAGGCTGGCAGGGAAGGGCACTTGCGGGGGGACTCAGGCCTGCAGGGGAGGGCAGTTGGGGGGGACCAGGCCTGCAGGGGAAGGCAGTTATGAGCAATCAGGCTGGCAGGCAGAAGCAGTTAGGGGCAATCAGGAAGGCAGGCAAGTGAGCAGTTGGGAGCCAGCAGTCCTGGATTGTGAGAGGGATGTCCAACTGCCTGTTTAGGTCCGATCCTAAATGGGCAGTTGGACATCCCTCGAGGGGTCCCAGATTGGAGAGGGTGCAGGCTGGGCTCAGGGAAACCCCCCCATGCATGAATTTCATGCACCAGGCCTCTAGTCTATAATAATAAAAGCGTAATATACTAATTAGACTGGATGGCCGAACAGCAGAACAACCATCCAGACAACCTTCTGGACGAAGCCAGGGCTGTGAGGGCCAAGCCCCTTGCACAGATTGTGTGCATCGGGCCTCTAGTGTAATCATAAAGCGAAGGCCTTATTCCCACCATCATTAATTCAGGCAGTTGGTGGGCAGACTTGGATAAGAGAAGCCAAGTCTGTTTGGGGTTTCACTTCTTCAATGGTTTGAGCCCTGAGAAGAGTGTCCACTGTGCTCTTGTCCTTTCAGTGCACTTGGAGGCTCCTCAGCTCTTCACATTCCAGCTTTTCCAGGAGGAGGATGTCTCATTGATTACGTCCCTCAAGTATGCCACCTGCTCACCAACAAGGTAAAGGTAACCCCCCTTGTGAGGCCCTCCTCCAGGGTAGCCTGCACCCAGTACCATCCCATCGAGCAGGCACCACCCTCTTCACCCCATCTTCTTAATTTCCACCTCCATCCAGTAACAGCTTTCCGACTTTGGGTTACAATTTATCAGTTTCTCTCACTATTTCTTTACCCTCTTTCTTCCTTTTCTAGGGATTCTGACCTCCTGTTCCACTCTTATCTTTATCTTTTAAATTTGCATCTCCCCTTTCTTGCATTTCCTTTATGTCCTAATTATTTGCTAAATCCATACCTCCTCAATGGCTTAAAAATTTTGAACTCCTTCATTTCTTATAGTCCATGTGTGCATGTGAGTATGTATTTGTGTGTGTGTTTGTCACTGGTTAATATTCGGGCAAATTTATAGAGCTTCCTTAATCTCCTGCTGCTTTTCTGTACTTCACGTGTTAATAGTCAGTTCTTGATTCTCTCTGTCATGTTTTGGAGCCATTTGCCAGATTCCTGCTCCTAGGGGCAAGGTTTTCAGGTCAGCTGGGCTGTGGCCAGCCTCGCCAGATTATCTAAAGCTTTCTGTTAGCTGCATTAATGAGCCATTACAAGTAGCTGTGTTTGCATTAATGGCTGTTGTAAGATATCTTCAAAATGTATGTCCAGCCAGTGTATGTAGCTAAAAACTGGAGATATTGATCCACAAGCAACACTGACTTTCTTATCCTACGTGGACTGACTCCGTTTGCTTAATTCCCAAAGTGTTTCCCTTGCTTCTATTGATTGGTTCACATTGCCTTGAAAAATAAATCATTTGTTTGTCTTTCATTCAAAAGATAACTCAGCTATACTATAAAAAAAAAAAAAAAGCAAGCTCATCTCTACATAGAAAATATCTTACAAAGGCTTCAATATTATTTTTTAAATGTCAGAGAAACTAAAACCTGGCAACTCTGCAGTGTGGGCTTGGCACGGATTCCAGGGTATTTAGCTTTCATCGAGTGGTTGCTTCTCATTGGACCAAATTCCCCAGCCTCTACCCTCTATGGAGCTGATCAGAGGACAGCATTCTTGCTTACATTGTGGGACTTCGCACTGCCTCCCAACCTGTGTCCCAGTATTACGGGGAAGAATGCAAAATTGGTCTTCCAGAACTGAGTAGAAAGCCTTTTTAAAGCTCTCCAATTGAGATTAATTTCTAGTCATACATTTTTCTCAAAAAAAAAAAAAAAAGTATAATACATTTCCCCAGAAATACAAGAATCAGTTTGTTTTTCTTATCTGGTTCCCTCTCATTAATTTTACTTGTCTTTTAAAATAGATGTTCTTCTGCATGCTACTAACGAGGACAGTATGGCTGCTTTTAGAAACAATCTCTTCTAATGAATTTCCATAATTACTTTGGAATCTATCTTTATAGCCAGTTTTGTTGTGGGTTTCTGTTAAAATGGTTTTCTGTTTTTAAAATCAAGTGTACAGAACTGTTTTCATCCCTTTTCTAAACAAAGCCACTTAAGCAAACTTATCATCTGTTTTTCTTTTCCCAAAATAACATTTCTGATCCTGCAAAGTAAGCACTGTTTTTATAAATTGACATAAACCCCCATTATATAAATAGAACTGTTTTACTTTTAAAGGGTACAACATGGCTATCAGTACCAATTGTGTCAAGGTTATTTCAAGCACTTTATCTCAAGCTTTTGTGAGCCATGGAAACACATTGTGGCCACAGCCAGTATAAACAATTTGGGGAATCCCTTTCTCCCACTATTCTTGCAGCCATTATAAGGACATTAGAAGTGATGTATTTTTGTGTTAGAAGCTGATGTGTAAATAATTAACTTTCAGATAGATGCCTAGCTTGCTGAGTTCGCAGGTTTCTTTTTTATATTTTTTTATTGTTGATAGTATTACAGATATCTCATATTTCCCCTCACTTCTCCCTCCCTCCAGCTCTTCACTACCCTATTTCCTATGTCCATGAGCTATGCATATCCTATCTAATAAATCCTATATATAATAAAAGGATAATATGCAAATTAACCATCACCCCATCACAAAAGATGGCAGTACCAAGTCCTCTCAGCCTGCCGGAGTCCTCAGTCCCAGGTGTGGGGGTGGGCGGCCACTGAGAGAAGGCAGCATGAGTGGCCTGGTGGAATGCTTGCTTTGTCACCATGGTGATGAGGCAAACATTCCATGCTCCATTGGGCTGCAGAGAGCCTCTGGGCAATGGGCGTGGGAGCAACCAGGCCCCACAGAGAGCTATTGGTACACAGATTCTACACAGAGCTACTAGTAAGTGTATAAGTTCTTTGGTTTATCACAATTTTTAATAGAAATTTCATTTGGGGATAATAAGGAAAAGTAAAAAAGAAAAATAAACTCTATTGTAACACTCCTTATCCTGAATATTAGGGTTTAAAAAAAAGAGTTAAACATTTCCTGCCTTTTCAATAGGAGGTATAGTTCATGATAACCAAATCATTTTATTTGGTGGGAAGAAGCTCTTTACCAAGAAATCCAGCTGCTAAATTCAGATAGAACTCAAAAATCACCATTTTTTCAGGCCCTAATGAAAGAATTGATTCAGACAAGCATCTCCAACAGATACTGAAACTATGAGTGAAAAGTTATGGGGAACTAGATCTTCACAAGCTTCAAGAGGTATACCCATAGATTACTTGCTGTGATAATCTGGCTGTCATCATCTGAACCAGTGATCAAACCCAGTATTAATTGTGAATTTTTCTTACCAAAATAGTTAACCTGAATCTAATCACATCTTTAGCTCTAACTTTCAATTTATAGGAAATATAGAGAGTAGTGGGAAAAGGAAAGAATCAGAAAATCTAGAATGAAGAACGTCTACAACACAACTTGCCCAATCGCTTTGAAAAGTCAGTGTCATATTGCATGTGCAGGCACACATACATGACACATGACCACACCCCTAGGAGACACTATTATTCTAGATGAAAAACCTTTGATTGAATTGCCTGATTCCCTGCTTTAACAAAATGTTTTGGGGGCAACTGGGAACTTTTGAAGATGGACAGGATTCCACATGGATTCAAAGAACGATTGCTGAATTTGCTAGGCATGATAATGATACTGTGGTTATGCAGGAAAATGTCTTATTTTTTAGAGATGCATGTTGAAGTATTTATGGCGAACTATCACACTGTCTCTAATTTTCTTTGAAATGTTTCAGCAACATTGATTGATAGATTGATAGGTAGGTAGATGGCTAGATAAAGCAAGAAGACAAAATATTCACAGTTACTAAATATATGTGGCAGGACTATGGATGTTCGTTTCACTGTTATTTTTACTTCTCTGACTCTTTGAAACTTTTCATAATAAAGCATTAAAATGTCTCCGCTTTGGGTTCCTTTTCCAGGTGCAGTATGTGATCCAGGGATACCACAAGAGAAGAGAGTACATTGCTGCTTTCCTCAGCCACTTTGGCACGTGAGTCCTTCTTGGTTGCACCGTATGTCAGCAATGCCCTCACACTCTGATGGCCCTGATGTGAGCTGCAGTCAGAAATCACTGTCCTAAGAGCTAAGACACAACATCAATCCAGAAATAGTTTCCAGAACTTTCATGGAGATTTCCTTTTCAGTTTAAATTAACCAGCACACTGCTATTAAGAGAACTTGTTCATATATTTGATTCTTTTTTTGGTATGTTGCTTCCACTGAAGCTTCCAGGAAGATGCTTTTAGCTTCTTTAGCAGATAACAAAACGGAATATCTTCCCTGACGCTGCAGGAAGGGTGCAGCCCACACTCGTGCAGAGCCCTTTCCAGTGTGCAGAGCACTTCACCTCCCTCAGCTCAGGGGCATCAGGAGGCGAACCAGGCAGGGGGAGTGACACATCTTCTTGATGAAACCCTGCAGCTTTGAGAAGTCTAGAAACCCAGCAGAAGCTACACAGGGAGAGAGACCAGGGTGGGACCCAGCTTCTCAGGGTTGGGTCTCCCAACAGGACCCCACTCCCGACAGTGCCGCACAGATTAGAGTTGGAAGAAGCACTGGAGGGGAAAGGGGCAGCATGGAACTGCAGTGACAGGACGGGCATGTCCGACTGCTGCCCCTGTGTTCACCTCTTCAGGGGCCAGGGGCAGTGTGCTGGGCAACTCCATTCTCTACATCCCCGCACGTGATGGCAAAGGCCTCTCCAAGCTTCTGCTCCAGGGAAGGCTTGCTCTTTCCTCGCAGGCTGCTCTGATGATGCCTCATTCTACCCATTTGGGGAGACAGAGCGCTAGGGTTTCATGGTCTGGGTAAGCCCACCGTATTCCAGAGAAGGTTTATAAATACATGAAAATACAGTAGCACAAAATTAAAATTTTAAACAAGTAAAGGAAGAAACTGGGACAAAAGGAAAGTGGAAATATTTAGGAAAGAGTAAGTGAAATAAGGTTAGCCATCCCATAAGTATTTAGTACTTGAGATTTTTCAGCTTTATTTAGGAGCATTTTGAGAAAGTACTTATGATACAGACAGTAGTTAAGAAATGACTATTAATTTGTAAAATCACCTTTAGTATATATCATTGAAAGTGCAGAAGCCAGCACGGTGACCTCTAAAGTACATGTGTCCCAGAGTGCACGCTCCACCTCACTCCATTGTCGTACAAGAAAAATATGAAAATTGCATTTACAGTTATATTTAAACCTCATTCTTTAAAATGTACATTTTAAAAGATATATTTTATTGATTTTTTAGAGAGAGGAAGGGAGAGGGATAGAGAGTTAGAAACATCGATGGGAAGGAAACATCGATCAGCTGCCTCCTGCACACCTGTCACTGGGGATGTGCCCGTAACCAAGGTTCATGCCCTTAATCATTATCGAACCTGGGACCCTTGACTCTGCAGGCCAACGCTCTATCCACTGAGCCAAACCAGTCAGGGCTAAAATGTACATTTTTGCATATGTTTTATTGTGCATATTATGCAGTAATACTTGTATGAAATTAATTAATTATATATAAATACTACTATAATACTGAACTATTGATATATAGGGTGGTGAAAAGGTAGGTTTATAGTTGTGAGTACATGAAACAATTTATTCTTGTATTATTATTTATTAATTATTGTATTATTTTCCATATGAACAACTGTAAGCCTACTTTTGCCCCACCATGATACATGATGAAGAGGCATCTCTGTTGTTTTTTGCTTATGGGATGTAGGACCTAAAAAGTTTAAATATCAGTGTTGTAACATAATGAGTTAGTTATAAGTTCATGAGAAGAAGTATAAACTGGTGAATAAGATTGTTGATTAAGTCAGAAAATCTAAATGATATGCACACGGTCTTGGAGCACATCACATAGCCTCAGTGTCTGCGTCCCTTTAGCTTTACAGGGGTGCAGCTGTTCCTTCATGTTTGTACTTAGACTGGACGGCCATCAGCATCAATGGTCTGATTGGCCTGACTCAGCCAGGAGAAGGCGTCTCTGAGGACAGCAGAGGCCTTCTGTGTGTGGGAGAGAACATTGGTCCTGTCCGGGTGTGCGGGTAGTGCTGTCCTGCTGTGACACTCCCCACGCTCTCAGCTCTGGAGGAAATGGCACTGGGAGCCCACCGAACCCTGCCAGGCTCCTCCACAGTCAAGAGCTGCTCTCCCACCTGAGCCCAGTGTCCACCCAGCCAGCATTGCCACTTTGTCCTGTGCCCGGTGGGAGGGCTGGCCGGGGCACAAGTGAAGGATTCCGAGTAGCACTGCCATTGCTCACTGCTCAGTGCCTAAGTGGGAGTGGGACTCACGACCACTGTAGGACAGTGATGTCCCTGCTGTCCTGATCCCAATCTGTCCTTTACTCACAGCTAGTAACGGACATTTTGCTTAGCACTCTATGATTTAGCTTAGCACTCTATGGTTTGTTTTTCACAGCCCGCAAAGAAGGTTGGAAATATTCTTATGTTTGTCTTACAGATGAGGAAACTGAGGCTCCAAAGGTTAAGTGATTTGCCTGCAATCATAGTAATCAATGGCAAAGCTGTCACTTAAACCAGCTGTTGTCATTCCAAATCTACATCCTTCCGTGGTTGCACTCACTCACCCTAAATGCATCTCAGATTCAGTAACCCTGACTTCATGAATGTTCTTTACTTGTTCTATTTTCTTTTATACCTTATTTTTTTTAAGAGTTTTTGTGTATATGTATGTTTTTATTACTTAGAGGTGTCGTGGAATATGATGCAGAAGGCTTTACAAAACTCACCCTGCTGCTGATGTGGAAAGATTTTTGTTTTCTTGTACACAGTGAGTATACTTTTGCTATTAGCATGTCAGCATGCATTTGAAAATGTGCTAAACCACATGCAATAATGAGCATGAGAACCTTTACTGGTATTGTCCTGACTTGGTTTCTTTTACTTTAGTATATTTATATCTTAAAGGTGAAACAATGTTTTAATGTATTCCCAAACTTGCTTTTCAGTTTTATTCCACAGACTAGGTGTATTTAAATGTTTGTTGTATAACGATCAGCCAGTCAATAAGTGTTGGTCGAGCTTTCTCTTGATGGATAATTTGGAGTCTCCTTTGTTTATTTCTTTGTTTTATAAGAACCAGTGACCCACAATGTCAGGTTCAAGTTGCAAGTAATCAAGACCTTAATTCTTTATTAATTTGGTGTGCAAACCGCCCAGTCTTGAAGCTCAATGCAAAGAAGTTCCAGCTTTTTCAATAGCAGTGGGTTTGGGTTGACTTCACTCAGTAGCTACAACTTCCCTAGACCTTAATAAACTCTCAGGAAGCAAAAAGCTTTGGCCTCTGTAGCCAGCCCTCGGATAGGATAAAGATAGTGGGTTGGGAGATTTTCCTTCCCAAGCAGATTGACCTTCTGGCTGTGATTTGCTTAGGCTGAAATGGTTCTCAAACTAGTTTGTCTCACCTGATTTCACACTGACAGATTGTAAGGTAGGAAGCACTAAAATGTCCATGGGGCAGAGGAAGGAATGCCTAAGATGACTGAGAGTTGGCTGTGATTGTCAGGAGTGGGTTCTCCCTACCTTTGAGTGTTTCCAGGGGCAACCACCTAGCTGCATAGCCCTCTGTCTTGAGCTCCAGCCACACACTGGAACCGCCTTTCCCATGCACCTGGAAAATGTAAGCATTATCATTTGTGTTCATAATGTGCACAGATGAACAGTTAGAGAGGTGAAGGCTTTAATCTTGGGTGAACCTCCAACTTATTACATGAGCTTCAAAGCACTAGGACAAGTCTCCCCCTACTTGAATTTTCTCATGTGAACACTGGGGATCTGATTGTTCAGTTCTGTTGAGACGTCGGCATATAAAGCTTAACCTACCACGCAGGGCCCGGTGGGAGAGATCGCCTGGCAGTCCAGGCCTCCTGCAGTCGCCTCTTTGCTCACCATCTTCTGTGGTCGCACGGGCATTTCCAGCCCCACATTTTATTTCTGACTCTGTGTCACTGCTTTGGTTTGCATTCTGAGCCATGGTTCCTTTGTGAGATCTTACTTCCTAGTCACCATATCCACTCGCCCCACCATCTGATCCGGTGATTCTGTTTCTAGCCTTTAACCCAGCCCCAGATCCTATTTGCATCCTCTGTTAGTCTCTCATGACTCTGGATGGTTGTCTGGGTGACTAGTCTGGTGTGATTCCCCTCATCCAGTTCAGCAAGAGGGGTCTGTACCCTGCCTCCAGCGGTGGTGGCCACAGGCCAGGTCCTTGCAGAGTGGCTGGGGGAGAGGGACACAGGAAAGGACAGCCGCAAACATTGAATGAGATGGATGCTTCAGCCAGTTTCTTTATCCCAAAGTGGCATGAAAACTCAACTCTTTCCTGAAACTTACTCTGGTCCCTCTCTGTGGTTCTACTTTCAAAGAACTGGATGTCCGATTATATCAGATATTAGGGAAAATATATTCTTGGCATTGCTTGCTCTAACCTGTGTTTTTTACGTGCGGCCAGCAGGAGTGGTGTTCAGGGAGGAAGAACATGCATCGCTCAGCTCCTGCCAGCTTTCTCTCTGTGCCTCCAGGACCACCACTCCTTCCCTCCAGAAGCCCTTTTCCCTAGAGCACTTCCCCATGGTGCCATCTGACCAGTACTTCTTCCAGTTCCTCTCCACCTCCCTGCCTTAGTTTCCCCAAGTCAGACGTCTATGCAAAACCAAGTCCCAAGGTCACATTTTCACTAAATATTATCTTATTCACAAACATAGAACCCCCAGGCGCTCATGAGAGCAGCGACAGGGACCTTGGATTCGTTTAGTTGACTTCACTAAGTGCCTCTTGAGGCTGCAATCCTCCTTGCCTCGGCGTCACTGCCTACGTTGGGCTCTTCTGGCAGATGAGACCTCATCTCTGAATCAGGGGACTTGGATGCTGCTTCCTGCTCCATCATTAACTCACAGCTTGTCTTTAAATAACTTGTTTCCTCCTTTTTGCTTCTTTCTTCCGCCAGGGCTTGCTACATCCGAGCAAAGCTTGGTTGGAGATAGTGTGTTTAATTCAGTCATGCATTAAGCATCTGACACTTACCTTCCTTTGGTAGCATCTGCTTGTTTGGTTACAACACCCCAGGGACCACTAGTTCCTGTTTTTTTCCATGTTGATGGGGATGTGAATATGGGGTTGCAGAGACGTAATGATAGAACAGTGCAGGGAATTATTCTGAGAGCTCAGGAATGTGAAGAAGGAAGTGGCTGGCTCCACTACTCCATGAAGTTGGAGACCTGGCAGGACCCCAGGTAGCATCCCTGCTCCTCCTTTACCCCGTTCCAACCAGGGCTGGGAAGAGTGCTGTGAAGAGAGCAGGTGCTGGCAATAATTTGGAGCATGTGGGTGCTGAGGAGAGAGGCTCTGCTCTCTGGAGAAAGGTGGCTCGGACCCCCGGAGTGTGTGGAAGCAGCCATGCCCTCAGGGAAACAGTGCATACTCTTGGGAGATTCTGCAGTGTCCTCGCATCCTGTGATTCTGGGGCGGGGGGGTGGGGTGTGTGTCTGTGGCTGTGATTATGACCATGGAGCCTTTTTATCTTCTATTTATTATTTCTTCCTCCATCCATTATGAGTGGATCACAGGACTTGGAGACACTGTGGAATCAGGGACTTGCTCCATCCAGGAATGGTTTTCAGGACGGGTTCCTGGCCATCATGTAAGACCTATTGGTACTGGTTTTGTTATAATTCTGAATTTGCTGAGCTGTTTCTCCTCTAGAGGTAGACGTTTCTGTAAGCCAGCAGCTTTTCAGAATGCTGGGTGACAAGAAAACCAGGCAGCAAGGCACAGAAATAGAACAAAGGCAACCACTGGGTAACATCGACAGTTGCACCATATACAAGGGACAGCTGCCTAAGGCAACAGTGCTCTTAGAAAGGATGGGCTTTGAGATCTGTGACTTCTTAGGCAGGAGAGAGTTTGTGATGATGTGAGAGGCTGTCTTCTGTAATTACCTGTAAATTTGGGGTAAATGTCCCTTTGAGACATCCAACCTGGACCATTGGCCATTTTCCTTGGTAAAATGCCTGTCTGACCATTTTGGCTGTTCCATTTCATATTTTCTCTTCTCAGCCCCTACCCTGACTAACTTAGCAGAGTTCTGAGTTTACTGAGAACTTACTGTGTGCTCAGTATTGTGCTGGGGACCCCGGGGGTATAAGAAAACTAGTGTCCTGGTGCACAGATTCACGCACATTGAAAGGAAATTAATTAGAAGAAATATTTTAATATCCTATTTGCCCTTTCTCTATAATAGAAATGTCAACCAAATTCACGATCAACAATGATAGATCAAACCACACTCATGCGATTGGTGCCAGCAAGAGCTTTGTATATATCGCACATGCGTGAATTAACCTAGCCTTTTATATATGTAGATAACTCAGGCTTGATCTTAAGACACTTGGAGTCTGGGCCAAGGTTTGGAAGACTCGCCTGTGGGACAAATCACATCCTAGGCCAGTTTTTGTATGGTCCTTGAGCTAAGCTGGATTTTATGTTTTTAAAGGATTGTTAGGGGAAAAAATACAAGGACAACAACTGTGTAACAGATGGTAAAGCCTAAAATATTTACTCTTTGACCTTTTACAAAAAATACTTGCTTATGCCCTGGTTTAATTGATGAGAAAAGAGGTCAGATAAAAGTGAAGTACAATGGTGTGTATTTTTTAAATAAATATTTTGTGAGCCTGTCTACCATATGCAAGGCACAAAGTGGTTTACGGCAGAGATAACTTTATATGATATACACTCATGAGAAGGAGGAAGAGAGGGAGAGAGACCCTCCTTAATGAAGCCTAATGAGATACAGACAAAAAAGAAACTAATAAATATATAGATTTCAAATGACAAATACCTTGATGGGACACAGCAGAGTGCTCTAAAGACTGAGACTGAAGATGGGTTACTGTTAGGATGGTCAAGGAAGCCCTCTCAGAGGAGGTGACATTTAATTGTGAGGTTAGAAAGGAAGCCAGGGCAAGATCAGCTGGGACCCCACAGGCTGATCATGTGTATCAGTTAGGACTAGGTAGTAATAAACATTGAAAAACAATGTTTTAAAGCAAGTAGAAGTCTATTTCTCACTCCTTTATAGGTAGGCAGCCTAGGGCTGGAATGACATGTCTAAAGGTCACATAGGACCCAGGTTCCCTCTAGCTTTTTACTCCATCAATTGCGTGTGGCTCTCTTGTTTACAGTCCAAGAAAGCTGTTGGAGCTCCAGCCATCCCATTCTCACACTGAATATAACAGAGCAGAAAAAAGATGGAAGAATGGTACAAACTTCATTTACTAAGACTTCAAAGAAGTGCCATGCACCACTTCCAATTATATCTCATCACTCCGGAACTTACTAGGTGTACAGATTAATAACGGTGGATTTTGTAATCAAAGAAAACATGATAATTTCAAGAGAAACGTCAAAAGTGCTTTATTCAAAGTAATGTCCACCGCTAGCTACAGATTTTCCCCATCTTTCAGGTAATTTGTGGATACCGTCCCAATAGAACTTTTCTTGTTTTGAGGCAAACCATTCAGAGACCCAATTTTCCATTTCTTCATATGTTTTGAAGTGCTGCTCAGAAAGAGCATGTGCCATCAATCGAAATAGTGGTGATCTGAAGGAGCGAGGTCTGGTGAATATAGCGGATGGGTTAATACTTCCCAGGCAAGATCTTTTAACATGTCTTTAACTGGGTTTGAAGTGTGTGATAGTGTGTTATCATGAAGCAAAATTACTTTGACTTGTTTTCTGGCCCATTCTGGTTGTTTCACCATCAAAGCATGG